ACATCTTAGGCAGGCGTGTTGCAGCGAAATGATTTGCGTGGACGAGACTTGCTGGCGCCTGGTTTGATTGTTTTATAATTGATCGTGCACCAAATTCAATGAAGTCATTTCAACGAGAATTTGTTGCGCAATCATGTTCAACTTGTCTCGCAACCACCCATGTTCAACTTGCCTCGCAACCATCCATGTTCAACTTGCCTCGCAACCATCCATGTTCAACTTGTCTCGCAACCACCCATGTTCAACTTGCCTCGCAACCATCCATGTTCAACTTGCCTCGCAACCATCCATGTTCAACTTGTCTCGCAACCACCCATGTTCAACTTGCCTCGCAACCATCCATGTTCAACTTGCCTCGCAACCATCCATGTTCAACTTGCCTCGCAACCATTCATGTTCAACTTGCTTCGCGCGTCTGTTCTGCTTGGAAGCTATTTATTTATTAATAATTTCAATTAAGTTTTCGTTGTGTCGATGTTGTCGTTGTATAAATTTATTTGCGTGTGTGTTGTTGTATATATATATATATATATATATATATATATATAATTGTGTGTGTGTGTGTGTATGCGTGTGTGTGTGAAGTGTGTGAATAGAACGAAATTTACTCTTAATGTAGGACGAATATTCTTTAAAAATTGACCTATTCTTCGAATTTTCATACAAAGTAGAACAAATTGTTACTGATGGTATTAATTACTGGTTATCAGCAGACTACAGAGACTACACTGTGCACTTTTTTAACCTTAGATGGTTTGTTTGTTCGTTCGTTTGTTTGTTTGTTATTAAATTTAAGCCGGGTTCGATGCAATTAATAAAGTAGCGATTGAGTTGAAAACAATTTAGAAATGTTACTTCTTTTGAAAGTCTGCAATATGCAAGTCTGATTTATAAATAGGAGACTTGTTACATGTTAAATATTGCATACCTAAAAAATCAATCTTTTTTTTATATGATATTTAACATCACGCATTTTTTTTTAAAAAGTGCTATTTAACCAACCAAACAACGACCAACCAACTGAACAACCATCCAACCAGCCAGCCAAAGCCAACCAAACAATTAAAACCAACCACCTATGTATTCGTAAATGTCTGTATGTGTGAGTGTGTGTTGTTATGTGTGTGCGTGAGTGTGTATGTTTGTGTGCATGATTTTAGCAAGAGAACTCATTAAAAAGAGAGAGAGAGAGAGAGAGAGAGAGAGAGAGAGAGAGGGAGAGGGCTAGGTAGATCATAAATGTACCTGACCAACAACAACCAAATAGAAAGATGAAATTTTGATGACCTCTACCTGACCTCTGACCTCGCATCTGATCTCAACAACTAACTTGAACTTTGTGCGTACATAACTTGAGCGATCGGCTGCACGTGCATTAGGATGGATGGCGATGATGATGATGGCGGTGATGATGATGAAGAAGAAGATGATGATGGTGGTGATGATGATGATGACCACTCACAACATCGCATCGCAACAACTGTGGATGTGGTTTGGTAGTTGTTCAACATTGCATGCAACCACGATGTTGCTGGACTATGACCGTGCCAAATTCGGCGATGATAATAACATTACCAAATGAATGAGTGAATGAATGAATGAATGAATGAATGAACGAACGAACGAACGAACGAACAAACGAACAAACGAACGAACAAACGAGCGAGCGAGAGAACGAATGAATGAAAAAACGGCTGCATGACATGTGGATGAAACACACAAGTTGATGAAAATAGGAAAGAAGAAATGATTGAAAGATTGCGCGAATAAACGAATGAGGAAATGAATTCTTAAAGTGCGCATAAAATTTCCAATAGGTGAACGAAAAACGGCAAACAAACAATGAACAAACAAACGAACGAACGAACAAACAGTGAACAATTAAACAAACTTATCAAACCCTGATGATGGTGATGATGAAGATGATGATGATGATGATAATGATGTAAGTGAACACACAAACCAACAAACGAACGAACGAGCGAACAAACGAACGAACAAAGAATGAGTGAACGAAC